GTTTTACCTTGGCAGACGGTATTCAGGCAATGCGTAGAACAGAATATACACAACAGCACCAAGGACCTCAATAATACGACTTCCGTACCGTATACCACTTGCAAAGAGCCTTGGCCCAACGTGCCGGAGAATGTATTTCCAAATCTGTGGAGGATAGTTTACTGGACGTCGCAGTGCCTGACGTGGTTGATACTCCCATTGATGCAGTCCTATATAAAAGCGGGAGATTTCACCGTACGCGGAAAGTTAAAGTCCGCTTTAATAGATAACGCTATATATTACGGCAGTTACTTGTTTATATGCGGTATACTCTTGATATACATTGCGTTGAAACCTGGCTTAGATCTTGATGGGTGAGTTTCATTAAATTATAGCATTATCAAAACGTAAAGTTATAACATATTCATGTTACAATATATATAAATATAAGTTATTACAAAATGTTATCTATGTGTATAAATAATTAGGATGTTTGCTTTCTCATAGGCAAAAATTGAAAGCCATAGCATCATCTGCATCCAATACGTGGGGTTTATTTTTATTAGTCTTACTGCTCGGTTACGCCCTCGTAAAGGTACCTCGAGGATTATGGAATGCCAGCAAGCCTGGATACACTTTAAACTACAGCTATTTCAAGGTGGCGAAATTAAGTTTAGACAAGTGCGAAGCGGAAGAGACGGTGGACGACATACTCGAGGTACGAGATGAAGATGTTAATACGTTTGTGATTGCAATGCAATAATTGCGAAAGCTTTTATAATAGATAATAATGTTATTTAGTCGCTGCAAATTGCAACAATATCCATCGGGCCCGGTCATCCGTTCCATTGCAATCTGGAAACGATCTTTCAAAAGATACCCGCAGAATTGAAGGATCGAATGAACAGAAGGCAATTGCCCGATGACACTCCAACAGATACACCTTCCGAAAAATCTCTAATTCGTCTACATAGACAGGTTTGTTAGCAGCATAGCATATGTGTTATGATATCACAACGATATCACGTTTCTACATGTCGCCATTATTTGTTTTTTTTTTAGACTATAAAAGCGCTGCAGACCTTACAGCGCATAGAAACTCAATGGGGCATTTTAGTGGATGCGATATTTGATTTGGAAGATGTAGCGAAGAATCAAGTGAGTCATGATAGAAGATTTAAACAGTCTTTCCCTATGCATCGTCCGCTTCCGTTTCGTATTATTTACAATCCTGTTGTCGGTAAGTAACGTCTCATTTTGCTTTGGATTTTATTCCGCTGCATTGGTATTATGCAATGTTTGCTCAGTAATTTAATTTTTGTAACTTTTGACTGTAATGTAATTTAAATTTTAGAATGGTACTGGAAATGTATCGTGAAGGATTACGTTTTAAAGGCAGCTGCTATTTGCACCGGCTGCTTGTCAGTAGCCGTGGTATGGTCAGAAGTAACATTCTTCAACAAGTCTCCTGTGTTGTCTTTATTCGCCCAGTTTCTGAATTTAGCAAAGAGAAATTATGATTATTTTACGATAGAGGTAAAGATTTGCATTTATTATTTTGCATTTTAGTATATATACTATCATTTATCGTGTTTATTCTCAGATGTTGTCCACATTGATCATCGCATACCTTTGCTATTGCGCTTATTCGACAGTCTTGAAGATACGAGTATTGAATCTCTATTACTTGGCACCTCATCATCAAACGAACGAGTACAGTTTGATATTCAGCGGTATGATGCTGTGTCGCTTAACTCCGCCCATGTGTCTTAATTTTCTCGGACTTATTCACATGGATTCCCACATCATCAAAACTCATATCCTGGAAACGCATTATACGCAAGTAATAACATTTAAAATATTTAAATAACCTGTAAATTTCTTTGAATTGGATTTTGTCTTTATCGGTTCCTTTTTCGTCAGGTGATGGGTCATATGGATGTCATTTCCATAATATCCGATGGATTTAACGTATACTTTCCCATGGCAATTCTGGCGTTCTGCTTAGCGACATATTTTAGCATAGGCAGTAGATTGCTTTCTATGCTAGGCTTTCAACAATTCCTTGACGATGACGAGTTCACGACGGATCTCGTGGACGAGGGAAGAGAACTTATAAAAAGAGGTATCGATGAATTACATTATTAATTACACTTTTAACGCGGCATATATATTACATTAAAAAATGGTCTCTATAATTTGCCCATGTTAATATCTAATATGTTGAAAAAATAAATATTGAAATAAAAAAACAGCATATGTTCTTGTTATAGAGAGACGTAAACGGCAAAGAGCGGAAGATTCTATGTACAGACGGCGCGAGTTGCAGGAAAGATTCAATATTTCGGCAGGTACAACAGGATCGCGTTACAGGACATCTCGACAAAGCACGGACACTGGTATGTATAATAAAAAATGAATGACACCAAGTGATATGGATTACATAATAAGTAACATTATCGTTACAATGCTTCAGTACGACCGTTAAAACGAGACGAGTCAATCGAGTCCGCGAGAGCGGGCCTGTTGCACGATTTCGATCCCTCGGAGTATTACATCGGTATGACATTCGGCGGAGACAGCTATGGTGCAAATCGGTGTGATATGGAAAACCAGGGCGATATTGATTCGTTCGATCCAAGTAATGCGAGAGCATTCTCCACGAGTACAAGTCGCGTAGGTCCTCCACCCAGAGGACTGTTTGATGATATTTAAAAGGGATAACATTTTAGCAAATACAGTTTAGGTGCTATTGTAGAAGTCAATTGGCTTTTAAAGATTTACACGACGTTCATATCGAGTTATGCGAAGGCTCATTGATACGAAGCAGCGCGATGGCTCTTATTAAACTTGAAACGTAAGGCTTTACATACTTGTAGTATTTTGAACCCGATTACTCTAGGTAGGACCACGAATTAAAATAAAGTTGTATCGTTATGAGATATATTTATAACTTATTGTATACGAAGAAACTGGACTAAAAGAATGAAAGTTGCGCAGATGCTTGCTTGAAACAGAAACTCATTTTTTTTAAATATAAGAATTGTAACGAGATTACGGTGGATAGAATCAGTGATAACGCAATGAATGTTCGACTTAAGGAGGTTGAAGCAGTTTGGTCAACTCTAGATTTTAGTTTGTAAAAAATATATATGATAGTATAGGATCTACCGCATGTGTGAGAATTATTTCAGATTTATTGACCATCCAGAAGCTGAGATATTAATTTCCAAAAATGCGTCGTTTTACATGGGGTTAGATGGAGAAAGCGTTGACGGCGATGATTGATCCCAATTTTCTTTAATATCTAGTCTATATAAACGCTCAAAAAACGTGCCTACGCGTACAGTAAATTAATGCGAACATTTAGAACGCAAGAAAACACGTATTCACCATCTAATAACAAATATATTACAAGTTAAAGCGATCGAAATTAGACTGAAATAGCAGTTGATAGTTCGCGAGTAGGTAGATGTGGCAACGCAGCGTCGCCCGCGTTTCGGCTGTACCCGAATCCTGTCGGTATGTGCACATTTTTGTGGTTCTCTTCCGTGCTATGTCCACGATTTTTTTATTCTCTTTGGAAATAAAACCAAAAAATCATGAATCTAACGGAAGAAAACCAAAAAATTGTGAACATAACATAAAAGAGAACCCTAAAATCGTTGACATTACCACAAAATAGTAGACACAGCACGGAAGAGAACCAAAAACGTGCACATACCGACAGGATTTGGGTATAGCCAAAACGCGGGCACCTAACCTTATCCAAGGTGCGTTCGAGAAGACGCTATTAGTGCTATTTGCTTATTTTATCCTTGTTTTACACCTGATGAGCGATAAAGATAAAATGATGCAATAGCGCTAATAGCACGCTTCCCGAACGCAGCCCCAGAATGACAGAAAATTCACCGGCATGTTTACGTTTAGCAACTGCCGTTACGTGGCTCCACGTGGTTCAATACAGAGGCGAGTACTGCTACCAACCCCATAAAAGTGAAACGTTGCCAAGTTTCAATCGTATTTAATATAATCGACGGAAAGTTATTAAAAAATCGATAGCTTATATAATTGTCAAGGGAGCTACCAGTAAGAATCATTATTTCATTCTATCAACGGCAAAACATATATTCATGCCATTTTTATATTGAAATAATTAGCAATACTACAAGTTTTCAAGTTGGCATTGGCAAAAAAGTGTTTCGTTTTTAGCTAATTAAAATATAAAGATGCATAATATGATACTTTTACTATACGTTTTATGCAATAGCAGCGTATGGAGAATAAAATGATACCTAATACAGATTTTTTAATGACCTAATAAAAAACTTTTTTCTAAACCGTCAATTGACTCAACTGGATCGCTTCAACCTCCTTAATATGTATATTATGTTTATTAGGGCAAATATATTTTTATTCTTCGACTATCCTCTTAAGTTTTGTATAGTTTGACTTATGTTGAAGTTAATAAATAATTTATATACGATTTTTTAACCACATGTACCTGAAATAGTTATTCATTAATATCTAACTTTTTTGTAAGTAATCTAAATATCTTTTCAATACTTTAATATCTGTCTGTCTCATGTAATCAATCTTAACAATTTCAATTTATCCCAGTATCATCATATGTATATAATGACAAAAAAATTCCATTGTCTGAAAATTTACAAACTTTCTAGTCTTTGTTCTAGTCATTGTAATTCTATTTGTATTATGAATAGTTTGTGAAGCTTCGGAATGGAGAATGGATAGAAATGGTATAAAAAGATCGACTGGGTAACGAACAGGAAGATTTAATAAGAATAAGTCAGTGTATAATAATGATAATAAAACGCATTAATCTCAAATGTAAATATTCGCGAATAATTAAAAAATTGAAACATCAGAATTTACGAAGGCATTTTAAAATAAATATAATAATGAAACTTCTAGTGTTAGTTAGAAGTTTTGTCAGGATTGTTTTATTACAATATTCATTATGTTTTCCACATGCTTTTCGCGATTTAAATATGTGCATTTACAATTTTAAGATATATTCACGGATTTACCCGAAAATTTCGAAAACTCTAATAGCTTTTGTTTCTTGACAAAAATGTACTAAAGCATATCAGTTTTTATTTATTGTATGAATCTATTATATATATATCGACGAGTATTTATATAAATAAGACCTCGCTAAAATCAATTTCGGCATTTCTAGTATCAGTGAAATTAATAATAGGAACTATTAAATATTTGATATATTAATAGACAACAACACGTAAAGGAGTTAAATCTTAGATTTTCGAGATTACAGGGCTCGAGCACGTGTCTCGAATAACATTTTTTAAATAAGCTTCAATGAAGCTATTTGCAATGATTATATCTCTAGAGGACGTATATAAAATATATTTATGATGAATTATGTGAGCTTGTTAATTAAAATTGTTCTGTTACGCGTAATTTAATGGAGGTAAAAACGATTCGCTCATAGTGATGCAGATTTAACGATTGAGATAGTTAACAATTTGCATATCGTAAAACAATTTCTTGTCATTAATGAATCGGCGAATTACCCCATTAATAACGGACATAAAATACACATGTAACGACAAACTATAAATCATCATGCATATATGCGATCTCGATTATTCCGTTGAATATTTTGACAACACTTCGTAACAAATGTAACGTAAAATTAATGACAATAAATGTATCAAGTAACATCCGAATGTGATTGAGTTTCCTAAATATCTTATCGTTTCGTAAGTTTAACAAACAACCGCTCTAGGTAAAATAAACGACGTAAAATGTAATGCTCGTGAGAATAAGAAATGATAACACGTAGGCCATTATTATTCTAATAATTGTTATGCGTTCCGTTCGCGAGGTCCTATTCTTAATGTCCTCCCGACGCTCAGAATCCGCCGATTCCGGCATTAGCAGCAATGGTTCTAGCAGCAACAAACTCGACCTGTTCCTCCGATGTTCGCCGGTATCATCATCCCTCAATCGGTGCACCTGATAAATCAGCGGATCTTGTGAATCGTTATGGCTAGTGCGTTTCGTGCAGCTCATCAAAGTGTCACGATCGTGATAAAATGTCATGGGTGCGCAGCCAGCTCTTGATGTTCTCACGTGATAGCTATTTATGTAGCGATGATACAACTGGGTATTCACTATGAGGTTGCAGGGAGCGCGATTTACAACGCGGATGCTCGGTTTCAATAGCGATTGCAAATCGAAGACATCTCGGGGCCAGCAGTGAGAATAAAATATACCCCCGGCGTTGGTCTTCGCGTAACTGTAGACCAGCATGCAATTTCGACTACTTTGATCATATTGCGAACAGAAAGTATCTGTGGAATCCTCGCGCGGATACTTGAAGCATGAAACATCGTCGTGTTGACACAGAACTACCTCTACGGCGAGTAACGACTCTTTCGTGTATATCAAACGATCAGTGTAGACCGGACTGCCTTTCGTTCTTGCACACTCCTTGCAAATTGCGTGTCGCGGCAGGAAAAGCGTGTCTATCAAAGTCTTCGCGGTAGCGGGGCTATAGTTCTCGTAGTAATCTCGAATGTCGTATTCATGCAAACTGCTGCGTGGCTCTTTAATAGCTCTAATTTCCTCGTAAACGTGACCGACGTTTGATACGGCTCGAATAGTAGCTTCGTTGTTTCTAGTTGTCGCCTGTTGTTCGTTGTAATTCTCAGCTTTCCATTGACTATCAGTATGTACCTCATCACTCGCATCTGATGGAATCTTTCTCGAATCGCACGGGCTACCGAAATCTGTGCCGTAGCATTGTTTTTTATCAATCGCAGAAATCGATCTTTCCTCGGTAGCAAACAGAATATCATTTCTTGCGCATGTATTGTCAGCAGCGACTACAGATTTGTGGATTTGCGTGTTTGTTACGTCTACGTGCGGAATATAATATGCGTGTGTTTCCGGTGTGCGCGGTGTCGTTATTGTTCCGGTGAGAAGGCTCACGTTCGTGTCATTCGCTCCGTTCCTAGCACTACATCTCGTTACTAATTTTAATTGCTCTAAATGTAGCTGATGGTGGTGAACACACGCAAAGTGACATCAATTCTGGAATTTTATTTGCCCGTATCGCAAATCCTGTTTGATCTTCGTCAAGTCGTGGAGTACCTGAATCCCAAACAAACGGGCACAAAATGATGACGTTTTACACAAATAACAGCTTCGAACAACTCGTAAATAATAATATTAATCCGTAAGAAACATTATGAGAAATACCGAAAGAAATATCATTCGTAAGAACAAACCTCTAATATAACCGAGGCACTCCACGCCTGGGTGCGACAGCTATCTTTGCAGTAACTTCCGTCCTTGTTGGTAAGCTCGGGGAGGCCTCTCCAATGATTGGTGGACGCTTCGATGAAGTGCCGTGAAATAATAGCATCGGTCGAATCGATCGTGCGAAATAATGCATCCTTATCGTCGATTAATAACGCAAAGTGCAAACGCGCTCGTAGGAAATATCCTATTGGCCAGACCCATTCCTAAAAAGATGTTAAGGTGCTTAAGAACATATTATTCGAACGTTAAATATCAATTTTTATATATTTTGCAAGACGAATACGTGATTATGATAAAGGATATTTACGGGTCCCTGGTGATAATTCCATCCATGCGCTACTTTGCTATCGTAGCTATCGTTGGAATTGTCGTAATATCCGTTATACGCCCAATCCGCAGGATCTAACGTCTTCATTCCAAGCGGGCCTAGTAGTATCTCCTCTGCTTTCTTCAGCGCTGTCCAGGCATGATGAGGATCAAACAATTCCGGAGCCTATTTGTGTATCATTATGATTTGTAATACAAAATATTCTTTTTCTATAGGATTTTGCAGAGTATTTTTAAACGCCAGTAATAACACTCACAACAACCATCGCGATGGGAAAATTAGGCCGCAACTGATAATCCGCCCATTCTTGCGTCGCTCCGTGACTATCCTTGAATATACCTCGCCGATGAATCAAATCGGGGTACAACTCGCCTTCAGTTGGAATCTCATTCACATAAAAGTACTTCTCGAAGTTTGCTTGAATTTTGTCGGCCCACTGCTTGTAACTCCAAGTTATTTTTTTGTATTCTGTAATTCAAGTAATTATCATGTAACAATCAGGTTGCGTAGACGATTACGTTTGAACGATAGTATTGTCGACATTCTTACCTTCGCGACTTTTACGTTCAACGCTGCCATACGGGAATAGATTTAGCTTGTACAATTTAGCCAGAAAACTGAGAACACATTTGCTCAGTCCGACTATCTCTACAGCGGAGCCATCTCTAGGAGTGGCCGGTTTGCCTTTGTTACGACCTTTTTCGGAAGATCCCATTTTGTCCATCCAAGTGCCACAATTTGCATCGTTGCCGCCGAATACGAAGCCGGTTTTGGGCTGGACGCCGATTTGGTTGTTGAATCCACGCTCGGTCATGTGCTCGTCGATCTGTCTTCCGGCGTTTCTCTCTCTGAAGCAGAGACCTTGAAAATGTACCGTGAGAGCTTCCTGAATTACTTCGTGCAGCGGTTGATCCTGGAAACCATGTTTATATTGTCACAAAACGCGCAACTTTTAATTTAAATTATAATCGAAGTTGTGCAAAATAGCTGATTTTTACATGTTGTCCTGCTGGCAAAGCTGGTGAATCGTCAGTCGGGAACAATCTTGAGACTTTATCGGAAAGGATATTCAAACCGTCCGGGACTTCTTCGATGTAACATTTTATGGTGTAGAGCCACCACCATAAAGCATCGCGGCAATTGTATCTATCACAGAATGAGATCGATGATAAAGCTTAGATCGAAGCTTCCTAAAGTATTGTTCTAAAAATACATATGCTCTAAAAAAGTACATTACCTTGCATTACTTCCTTTATCGAGTAGATTAGGTATCAGACCGTGTCGCAAAGTACCGGCGAATCCAAGGATTATGAATCTCGCTTCGACATGCCTGCCCGTCAGAAGCAACAGACCTCTCAGAGCGATGAAGGTATCCCTACCCCAATTTCTCATGTAACCCGTTGCGAAATGTGGCAAACCTGCCGATAACGTTAGACACATTTGTACAGCCACACCGTCGTGGGTTTCAATTTTTGGCTTAGGTGGACTGAGGTCCGGCGACAAATCTGGCAATTGCGACGACCTTACTACGCCACCCATTTGAACCGAGACCAAGCTCAGTAATTTAACGAATGTAGTTCCACTCTTAACAAAGCTGGAAACGGCGAATAATGTATATAATTAATTGTTATGGATCCTCTTATCTTTAAACACAATAAAAATATTAATCGAAGAACTCATAAGTTTGTTACTCTAACAAGTCGATTTAGTGTTCATTTCGGTGCTTACTTCGACATCAAACTGTAGCAACGATCTAATAGAACCGTATAAACATTCACGATTATAGCGTCAAAGTAACTCGGTACAAGGTATCTCGGAATTAACTTGAACGGATCCATCGTATGTTCAAACCATATTCCAAGACCTTCAGTGTCGTCATCCTCTTTCAGACGTTGCCATACGTAATCTGACAATTTTTTAATTACATGTCAATATTCTTATCTACAATTATTTTTCGGAAATGGTTTGTAATATATTACCTATTAACCAGTTACCCTGTCTAAGATTGTCACACAGGGGATGTCCTAGATCGTTATTTGGGCGAATATCAGCCAGTAAGGATATAATGCCTGATTTGAAAACAAGGCGCTTATTATATGGCAACAAGATACGATAATGATAACAAGAATAAAACTCGTGCCAATATATATTATCGCACGGGTTGTAATAAATATTGCAATGTATCACCTTGCAGTCCGGCATATACAAGAGATCCGTATCCCGGTACATTGTATACCCCAAATTTGCCCTGAGTTTCTTCTCGTTCCTCCTGGTCGCATCTATATAACGATTTATTCATATCCGATAAGTCCATGCAAGAAACTATATCATGTAAGCTTGAATTCTCATCTGACGTAATCTGCATGATAGTATATTGAAGACTCGTTAAAGCAAGTTTTATATTGTCGCGGAGGACCACTCTGAAATTAAATTCGTACATAAGTTAGCAGAGATATCGCGATTGCGGGAACAGGGATTTGTAGTTTTGTATACCGTATAGCTATAACAGAACCGGGTTGGAAGTTCATAAAATTAAGCTGTGTGATTTTAGGATCGTCGCATGCGACCTTCCTGATTATCGCCGACTCACAGCACTGTATGTGCTGTTTAAGGTTCAACGTATATTCGGACAATCCATTTATGATGTCTTCGTGCTTTTCGTATTTCTCAGGCAAAAGGAAAGGTGACTTGCCGTTTCTATAAAGCGATTTATATCCATCAGTAAATATACAAATTTTCCAGTTGAAGAAGATATATCGCTCACCTGGCATCAACGTGCGAGAGCGACGCTTCTAAAATAATTTCCTTCACTATACCCTCCACTTTCAGTGGTCTTACGTCCCTTCTCAGTTCACGAGCGTTACAATCCGGATGTTTAAATGCCGTGAACGCAACTAGAACTACACTCTCGTGACTAGTCGGCGAGTGTCTCGTTACAGCCACTATGTCAGTATCCATTTGATCGACAAACACCTATAAACAGAAAGAAATAAATTTAAAAAATAGCTATATACATTAACTTTCTAACATATGTAAACTGCGAAAGATGAACAATTGATAACATACTTGCGAAAAATTTTCTCGACCAAGCATATAGTGCAGATCGTTTAATGCCTTTTTAGCTCTGATTATACCAGTTTTCGAGTTAGCAAACTTAACGTCGTCCGCCAAATCGTCGTCTGTCCAGGAAGCGTACTGCCTTTTCTCATTCACCACGTCTATCTGAAAAAAAAGAAATAATAATAAAATCTTATAGGTAAAATAAATTTCATGGTAAAAGATCATAGAAAAATTTAAGTTTGCACTACGAGCTTACCTGATGAGGCACTAATTCGTCGTATCCGCGATTACTGCCACTGGCACAGCACGCCATCGATACAAGCGCAGCGCTCGGGAGTAGATCAAAGACACTTCGTTTCTCCACCGGACTGGGATTATCGTGAGTCACATCCAGGAACAGAGCATGAGCTATGCTCGGCACCAACGGCCGTTTCCGTGACTGCATAAATGCTCCAACTGGCTCCCCGCCGTACCGATATACTAATCTCCCTTCTTCGTGACTATCCCATGCAGACATAGCTTCTGCAATGTAACAGTTTTGATTTATATCTTTATTCGATGTGTCCTTAGTAATTGCGTTTCAAAAAATACTAAGCAAGCAACAGTTTTTGGAAAGAATGACAACCTCTTATTAAAGATGTGATGCCGAGACGATTTACAAAGATGTTGTCTTTTTGATCGGAGTTGGTAAACAATTCTGCCACAACATAGAGATCTGGACGGACTAGTCGTGCAGCGTCAAGCATAAACTGCAAAGAGAATTGTGCTATTTAGTAAACTCAGTGTTTAGTAAACTCAAGGCCGCTTAGAATCGCGACATACCTCAGCAACGGGGATCGGTGTGGAATGGCAATTATCTAATCGAACACCATCGAATAACTCCGCTGTGTGTTCTACGTAAGCCACCATATGCTGCCACAAGAAAGGACAATCCTCTGGTTTCTGCCCATATCTGTAACAATCATGTTCTCTCTCATGTGGCGTATAATATTTTAAATTATATATTACACTTATTCGCGCTAATAACTTGTTAAAAACTTGAATAATATTTAGCTGGTACTTTTACCTGAGTTTCACGCTATCTCCCCAAGCGATAAGTTCTCTTCGAAGGTACACATTAGAATCAGACTCCGCGAAATTCTTCAAGGGATCGCTATCCATGACCCAACCATTGTGAGCCATGAGATAACATCCGTTATCTGAATACATTATGTCCTCTCTTTCCTTTAAAGATTTAGGTTCTCCATAATCAGTGAAGTATCTGTGGTATGTAAATTTATCATATCAAGAATCATGTTTATAGATATTATAATGTAACGTTATAATATTTACAAATTTAAATAAAACTACCTGGAAACAAGAGGATTCTTCTCGCTAATTTCCTTAATTCTTGGACCATCGGATTCCACTCGTTGATATCTTATCCCAGATATACTATTCTCAATAGCAGCGTTCAGATGGTTTCGCACGTCGTTAGTGATAACTTCGTTAAGTTCTTGTAATTTAATCTTCAAGTCCTCTGCACATCGTCTCAGACGAGTTTCCTCATCGAAACAATCAGCTCTGCGTAAAATAAAAGAATTATGCATAAACATTTGTAAGAGTGGACATACGAAATACACTGGCTATATACATTATTGTATCTACATATATTTTACCTGTATACATTATACTTCTTCAGGGCAAGCTGCATATCTATAGTTGACTTTAATCTACGAAAAGCAGGATCTTGAATCACGGTAATATCTTCGGTTATCGTATTGTTCGCGTCTTGCGGCATCTCGTTGCGCGCCGAACTTAAGAATTCCGCTACAATTTCATTGATATCGACGATATACATCTCGTGTATCTTCACCAGAGGCAAGAAATGTGTGTGGAGGGCATGACGAATCCCCTAAAGACGAAATGCATGCAGCGGATGAACGTCGAGGTAGAAACGAAAGAATTAAATTTTAATCACTAGGAAATGATTTGTGACTTACGTTTAGATGATCCTCGGTGTCAACTACAGTGGGGATACCTTTAAATTCCCATTCTCCAGCGGCTACCTGGGTTGTTAATTCAAACAACGTTGCATCCAAGATATACGCCGGACGTAAATGAGGGCAGTTGATGCAGTTGTATGTGCATTCCGGGTGAGAAACCAGGAAAGGACTCTCGTTCGCCGTGTGATTCAGAACGACATCGCATATGCTCAACATCTGCAATAAGATAATTGAAGGATACATTTGGATATCCTGCAGGATTACGCGTTTCATCTTATTATCGATAAATAATAAATTTACCTTCCACTCGGTTCGCATTTTATGTGTAAATAGTTCGATGTCACGAAAACTAGTTAACTTATTATTGTCGTTAAAAGCAGGATTGAGCTTGGCTTGATTCTTCAGGCTATACGACGATTCAGAAAGTCCCAATTCCTAAAAAAAAAGTTAAACTCGCGTTTATTACAAGTATCGTAGTCTTACATCGTACATCAATCACGCGAGCATTACCTGTATCGGTGTAAAATGAATTACGTTATATCCAGAATTTCGCGCTACCAGTAATTTACTTTCCCATGTAGAAAATGGTCCTAAACTTTTTGCCAGAACAGTTTGGACTTGAACGCAATCCAGAGGTAGTTTCTCCCCGTCTTCGCCTACTCTCAACTCGGGATCGACCAGCAAGTATCCGGACGCAATGGGTTTTATTTCCCCCTCGACTCTGCGAAGCGGACGTGTCTCATTATTAAAAAATCAAATCTTACCCCATATTCATATGCATAATAATCTTAATCTTACTGATCAGTGACATAATAATGGAATGACCCAGCCAAAAATACAAGTATGTTAGCCGATTCATTTTCCCATTTCAACTGATGATAAGTATTCCTCTCAAATCTCCTGTTGTTCGATAACGGATGATTTATAAAAACGCTAGGCCTTTTTCCAAGAAGAGAGGCCCCGAGTCGAAACTCAACTACCCAACCTGTGAGGAATGCAAAATCATTTACAGCAAACGTATGCCGCGATAAAAAATTGTCAAAATATAATTCCATCAAAGTAATTTTATATAGAAGAAGCAAAAATGTCTTTTTAACAACCTTTCTTCAATCTGTACAATATCCCATCAAGATGTTCTCCATTGTTCACAGTTAGAACTCTTACTTGCCCGGTGGTGGTGCGTTCCGGTGATGGAGGGTAAAACGGCATGCTTCCAAATAATGACTGAAATCATGAAGAAAAAATTTAAAAACGGATAATAAATATCGCTTGCGTTTGATAGGATAAAAAACATCTACGACAGATGTAGGAAACGAGATATAATTTTCACCAAGTTCTCGGGACGAGATCTGTCGGAGAGCTTCATTGAAGGGATGATACGACTCGAGCGTAGGAAACGGATATGTGCTTAGCCAGGCAGGGTATAAGCCTTAATATATAAGTTATTGGCATAAAGCAGTTAACAAGCGTGCGCGATATTATGTTACGGCGTTTCTGCTGCGTGAGCACACATAAAAGCTGCATCTATTCTTACCCTACATACTAGGATTACAATACCGTGATATACCGCGACAACTGCTTTCTGCCGCAAAACTTGCCCTTCCCCCGCTCTAACGAATATGGCAGGTACCAGACATAAAAATCCTTCACTGCCATTAAACGATCGTATCGCCAAGACTTTTTACTAAAGGATATATGGTCTCGCAATTCTGCACATTGCACGCGCATAGAACTTACAGTATCCAATTCATTACCAAGCCATCTACGGATAAATTGCAGAAAGCGTCTAAAAATCCTTATGAGTATTTCTCTCGTATCGTAAATGAGGCGTCTTATTCTTGAAGGCATTTTGTCAATTAAACTTAATTGCGCACTTTTAGCTGATTGGTATGGACAATCTATTAGGGAAATGATATCGCAGCGACTGCCGACATTTTATTATGCACAAGCAAAATCCTTTATGCGTGCTACCTATAACAGATATATAAAGTAAAGGCTACTAGGTGCGTAAAGCGTAGATTATGATATTGCACGGTTTTTTTTTTTTATATATCTTCAATGTTATGTTAGAAATCATTGAAACAGACGTTAGTACTTATATCATATTTTATAAAATGCATCATTACACAGTAATTAAACAAGAAAATTAGTGGAAGTATGCGTACTGTACTAGTATAACTATATTAATATAAAATATTAACACAGCATCATTACACAGTAATTAAACAAAAAAAGTAGTCGTACTGTACTAGTATACTAGTATAAAATATTAACACAGGACAAACATTTACAGTGATGAATTAACAATCTTTATTAACATATTTGATGTTAACAATTATCATTTTAATTAATTTGTACATATACAGATAACAGATATACTTTATTGTGGAAGACATCAACGCAATTACGCAATATATAGATCAATAATGTTCTACGTACCACGCATTTTTTTTACACACAAAAAGAAACGACATAAATGGACTTATGTAAGGAGCCTGGAATGATGATTAGTAATTATGATTTACAAGATTAAGAACGGATAAGGCATCGAACAAGCCGGTTAGTTTCACAAACACAGATACAAATGCGAAAGGGTATATGAAAAAAACATGTAACGATTACAAATGATAACATGTAAACTAATTATTCATGCACGACGGAAACGGAGCATAAACGCCGCTGATACAAATATACATGTGTCCACACCGAAAGACAAACCGACGAGGACATTTCCCTCGCACGCGGCTGTACGTAATTAAAACGTGGTTAACACCTCGCCGACACACGAATATACACAGACACGCACACGTTCGCTCGCATGTGGCAGAAACCGAACGTCCGAAAGGATCCTCCGTTCTTTGATTCCTCGAGGGGGTTCTCTACCTACGTCGACGACGGAGCACAAAATGATATCGCGTGGCACGCCGTACAAATTCCGTTTGCTCCGGCTCGCATTCGAACGATCAGGCAGAAGAGAGTCTGGCGCAAGTTGACCTCTACCACGTGAAAGACAGGGCTGAAGGTTAACAAACAAGCGTGCTCGGGGAGGAGTAGGAGGGGGGGGAGGGGGACAGAGGAGGGGCAGGCAGATCACGGCGGCAATCGGCGAATTTTGTATTGCCAAACGCGCGACGCTCATTGGTCCAGCGTTTCGCGCGGCCAACTTCGGGCCGTTCTTCTCCTCATCCCGCACGTACGAGGGGAAGTCGCGTTCGAATTCGGGGCGACAATGATCATCATTCGAATATCACGTGAACGTCGCGAAGGATTCTGGAAATGGTTCCCTTTGTTCAGAACTCGAGATATTCCTTCGTCATGTTTTGTGTATATAAAAAAAAGGCCACGTGGCTTTGACTCGCGGACAACTTCACAGAGACCCACCTCGGCGGGAAAGTTCGAAATTGATTCTGTCGCGGATAGAGGCTTGTCTTCTCGGCATGAATTGCGCGAGCGCACGTTAATAAAGCGATATTAATTATTAATATTTCATCAGATTTGAAGGCACAGCAAGACGGATCTCCGATATGTGGCGCGCAGCATTATCGGAGGGGGAAAAAAAAGGAGCAAGGATTTACTCGGGGAGTTTCCATTGTTTTGAATTAAGCGGAGGTCGGTTTCCTGAACTCGCGGAACTCTTTCCAATCCTTTTCGACCGCGCGCGTCCTGAAAAATCGCAATCGCGCGCCCACGTGATCGCGCATGTCGTCAGCTGTCAGCTTATCGTCCCCGCAATATGCAATCGGTGACACTCTAACCTCAACCCCGCGTTTTTCGAGCGAATCCACTCGCGAGAATCCCCTTTTTATTTCTAGCGACTTCCGAGCGTGAAAACACGCGAGATTTCAGCTTCGGCGGAGAGATCGACGAGAATTATCGTCCCTCTCGAGAGTTAAAACGTCTCGAAATGTGACCAGTCATCTCACGTGTTTCCAACGTGTTTGTTTACCACGAATATACCAGTCCCTTTGCACACCGCGAGCGTTCTCTCCAACGCCTAATATGAATTCGCGTTACTCGACGAGCGCGACTGTCGCGAGGAAAAAAAGGGGGGCACCGAGAACGACATCATCGCGGACCGTCGGTTCGTTCGGCCTCGCCTTTCCTAACCTCAAACCGAAAGTCATAGCGCCCCCACGTAAAACGACGTCGAAGGAAGTCGCGGATAGGGGGGTGCAATACACGCGGCGCGTCGTGTGCTGCACGACGATCGACACTCGCGTTGAAAAAAAAAAAAAAAAGAAGAAGTAGACGAGAAGGAGGAGCAGAAGGATCGCAGGGGTTTAACGATCCCGACGTCGAGCTCTCGTCGCGGCGACGCCGAATCGCGCGCGACTCCACGGACAGCGGACTCCTCTCGCCGTCCGGATTCGCTTTCTCCTCTTTATAGACTTTTTCAAAATGGCAGCGGCTACGGACGAGCTGAGTAAGTACTCCCGAGAGAAAAGAGAAAGAGAGATAAGGACCGATCCCCTTCGCGCGACGTAATCGACGACCGGGTCGTGGGTCACGTCGTTCGTCCCGGACGGTGACGAGAACGGGGGTTGAGCATCGGGTCGAGGCGGAAAGCTGATTGTGTCACGCCGGAAAGACGACCGGGGACGACTTCGGGGAGGACCCGCGGATGTCCGTCCTCCCCTCGGTGCTCCTCCCCCGCGTCCTTCCGTGCCGCCCCGGACACGTGTCCGCAGCTGTCAAATCTCGAAATCTGGTTTAAATCCCTTTGACGCTGCTCCGACTCGACGGTACGTGATGTCAGCGTTTTTTCGCGATGACCTCACGCCCGATGACACTCGATTACGTCGCTGAAATAAATATGGATCGATAGATTGTTTCCTGTTTTATTTTAGATTCTTGCATATGTAATAGGGGCGATTAAAAATCTTTCCTCCCCGTGATTATCCCTGTAAAAATATTGACAGACGTAATTATTGATTGTATACCTCCCGTCTTTGTGTTTTATTCAGTTTTGCTCGAGCGGGTGTTCCTCCGCCTGGGTTCCGCCGAGACGGATGAGCAGCTACAGGCGTCAGTCTGCAAATTTTTACCTCCCGTGCTGCTCAAGTTGTCTAGCGCGCAGGAAGGCGTCAGGAAGAAGGTGATGGAGCTGCTGATCCATATAAACAAGCGAATAAAGAGCAGGCCGCAAGTACAGCTGCCCGTTGAAGCTTTACTCCTGCAATACCAGGATCCAGCTGCCAGTTCATTTGTGATCGTACGTTACCCGCACGGATATGTCAATCGTTACGAAATCTACGAAATCAGGAAGGGACACGTCGTAATGTATATTCGTATAATTACAGAATTTTACGATAATATACATAAAGCTGGGATATCCTCGAATGGAGATGAACAAGCAAGCGGAATTAGTTCCGAGTGTACTAAATGCTATCGAGGGAAAGCCATTGTCCCATCAAGACAGGTTTGCTTTTTTATAAATTCTTTTGGTCCCTGAATATTAATTAAATTTTGTATCGTAGCGGAGTATTTTATCTTTAATATTTAAAGACTTGAGAAATTTTAGATATTTATATCACATTGTGTAAAATGTTGGATTACGATAACGCGAACGTGGTTATGTTTCAGCTTAATGTTGATCATAATGCCAGCATTAGGACATATCAACATACCAGCGGATCCCGATAAACGAGCGTCTCTCCTGGGCTTGCAAGACAAACCTTACGTGGCGAAGCAGCTCATAAGTTTTATGCTCGACATATTATTGTTGCCATATGGGTGAGATATATGCTGGACAATCGCATTTCTAGATATCCGCTTAGTTTCTGACTGACATATTGTATATCGTCAGATCTGTGGGACAAACGGAAAATCAACAGTCGGGTCAAACCATCGATTGGTCTCAGTTCACCGTGCCGCCGGGTTTAAGCGACTATGCGTTCAAAAGAGTGATAGGCGAGAGTCCGCCCACAGCCGAGCAACTCGAGCAGATGAAGTTGGGCATTGTTAAGTTCCTTGTCGGTGGATTTTTCCCGGATACAGATATTCTGATACATTTGATCGTAGCGGCCGCGGATACCAGATTCAGCATCGCTAATATGGCGGATTTAGAGTTGAAGAAGATAATTGGGTGCGTATGAAAACTGTCAGAATTCGTTTGGCGTAGATCGGTGCTGTAATTTCTACTGTATTTATCCGTTTAGCACATTGGATTGGTCTTCGATGCAACTCGCAGCTCCGATTTATACATTATTCTTGGGTACCGATGCGCTAGCCGCACAAAAAGAGGTGAAACCCGAAATGAAACGGCTACCTGCAAGCACTCGAATTCGTCTCAAGCTCTTACAGTATCTTTGTCGAGTGACTAAAGCGGGATTCATCATACCGCCGTGTATTCAAGTAAGTACATAAAGTTTAATTGAAAAAAAAAGACAATGGTCACATGGTGTTACATATTAAATAAAAATATCTTTTTTCTTCAGGTTATTTTCGATTCACTCTATGGAAAAAATACGAATGCAAAGTTAAAATCATTAGCACTGCAGTTTACGTCGAATATCGTCCAGCAGTAAGTGTTTCGTAATTCGCTAATAAATTTTTCTTTTATTTCATTCCCACGAATATTTCTTGATAGATTTACCTTTTTCAGTTGCATTACTAAGGAAAATGTCGATTAAATCTTTTATTCCCACGCGCAATGCATTATTAACTTCGCAAATTTTTTGTAGATCAATTCTTTACATACGTGATATAATTCTCGTTATTTAAACTACACATCTTATCTATATAATGAATCGTATTTAATTGAAATTTTTTTAATTAGCTGCAGCCTTGTACCGTTAACCCGCGTCGCCGGAGTAATCTTGAATGGCATGATAAAATTGATCTCCGAAGGCGATGACGTACATAAACCGATGGCATATACAGTCATTGGGCAACTTGGTCAAAGAATACCGTCTCTGATAAACAAAGATTTGAGTTTGTTACACAACTTATTTGACACGCTTGTCTCTGTAAGTATCCGATTGTTTTAAAAAGACGATAATAATTATCGAAGTCATATATCTATAGAGTTATTAAATGTTTTTATTAATATTTTAGACGGATGGTGAGTTACGGCGCACTGTGAGAGACGCATTGATTTGCGTAACGTCTGCCTTCGTGCTGAATAAAGAGGACGAAAGCAATATAGCTCTAATGAATGCTCTATTGTCGGTACACATTGAATCGCCAGAATCGAGCGTAAGGCATGTATATAGACTGTTATATATAGATTATTATACTTACATTACGTTAATTTTAATATATATCCTAACCGTATGTGTGACGTGTATTACTTTGCGAATAGATTTGTGGCAATGCATTATGCCGCAACCGTGTTTCCACCTGATGACGCACCATCTCGGTATCTCTTGTTATTAGCGTGTGGTGACAACAAACACGAGATAAGTACTGAAGCCATGAAAGCGCTTTACGGCGTTGTGCATAAAAACGAGGACAATCAGCAAATTAGCAACAAGATAGTGTTGCCCGAATTTGTGAAACTAGTAAGTTACATTTATTCGAAGATGCAGTCGAGATTGCCCGCGGCGGGTAGTGGCAGAAATACGGATAAACAAGTACTCCCGTATAGTACTGCCACGTTTTCCGAGGTAAGTTCTAGATAGAAGCCAGATCTGTAAATGTCGTGAGAATTATTTTTACAATCGTAATTTATATTGTTACAGATTATTTCTTATTTTCGCGTTTGCCTCGCCAGAAGTGCTAATATTCCCGTGCGAAATGAGCCGCTACAGCATCCTTGTGAATATACGCCTCTGATTGGACGTTACTTAGAAAAATTATACAAGGATCAGCCAGAGATATTAAATAATTATCTCGATATGATCTTGCTCTTGAGTCATTCTTCCGCAGGTAAAAAGAAATCATAAATAAGAATCAATTGTATAAAAACCATTGTGCTAAGTTAAATATTGTATTGATACAGATCAAATTTCCTTGAACGCATTATTGGAAGTACTTGGATCTGTTCCGCATTATATAATAAAATCATACGAGAAGGAGCTGCCGTGGCTCTGTTCTTTGCTTGCTTCCGCTAAGCAAGATGTACGACAATTAGCCGCGAAAGTATACGCTGCTATTACTGGTTACTTTCCGAAGAGTGAATTCGAGAAACACGTTTCGAGTATTATGAACATTATGAGTAGAAAGAATTTGGAAGCGCAACATGGTGCATTAATGGCACTGACTTATATGATGGAAAGAAATTTAATACACCAACGAAATGGAAACAAGGAGGATTTGTGCAATTGGACGACTTATAACGATATTGTGAAAGCAATATGTATGCATTTATATATATATCAAATTATGTCGCGCTATGAGAACATGAATATTATATTTATTATATTTAAAATACTATGTTTACTCAGGTACATATCTTCGCGATAACGCGGTATTATTAATGGACGCAGCTGTTCAAGCTGTTGGCATCTTAGGTAGAACGTATCCTTTACCTTTACCAGCAGAAGGCGATAACGAATTCAACAAGAAAGCAATAGTAGAAACGCTCTTTTCTGTCTTATCTAATGTCAAATTGAATACCAAGGTTTGTTTTCCGTAGTTAATTATATATTTTATGTAAGTAAATATTTTATATTTAATACTATGTGGATTTAATCTTACGACTTTACTTTTTTCAGATGAAAGAGAAAGCTGCGCTTTCACTGGGACACCTGTGTGTTGGCGAATGTTTTCCGCACACCGCAGATATCGCTAA